TGCATCTTGAGTACATGTTTGATCAATTTCAGATTGAAAACATTGTTAGAATTCTTCAATTTCTTCACCATTGTGTTTTGTGGTTGGTGTGTAATTGTGAATAACAGTTGTATTAAATGGTGTTCCTTGTAAGTATATACATATTTTGTTGTTGTTAAGTGCCTTCGAGTCGGTTACGACCCATAGCGGCCCTGTACAGGGTTTCCGAGGGTGTAAATCCCTACGGGAGTAGAAAGCCTCATCTTTCTCCCGCGGAGCGGCTGGTAGTTTCGAACCACTGACCTTAAGTTTCGCAGCCCAATTTGTAACCACTACGCTACCAGAGCCTCCTATTAGCCTATCACAAATAGATCTTCATATGTTCTTTTTGACAATTAATGCAACCCCATTCCTCTTGAATCTGTCATTCCCAGCATAGTGAATTATATGATTGTCTGCCCATATGAATGGACTGGCCGATACCAGTCCGTTTCCACAATGCCTAGGAGATCGATCTTTAAGCATCCCATCTTTGATGACTTCCAGTTTTCTTAAATTCATACTTCATACATTTCACATTCCAGCTGTTAATGGATGTTTGCAGCTGTTTCTTCTCATTGTGCTCATCAGAAAACTAAGGTCCTGAAAGCCTTCTTCCATTCATGTCATTATGATTGACTCTACTTTGAGGAGACAGCTTTTCCTCAGTCCTATTTTGAGTGCCTTCTAACCTGAGGGGAAGTTTTTCCAGCACTATAGAGAACAATGTTCTACTACTATTCATAAGGTTTTCAATGTCTGATCCTTCGAAAGTGGACCACCTACTCCTTTCTAGTCTGTTCTAGTCTGGAAGCTCTGCTAAAACCTGTCCACCATGAGTGACCCTGTATTTTACTTCAATTAAATGCTGGCATTTTGAAACACCAGTGGTCTAGCTTTCAATATCACAATGTTACACGAGCCACTGCAGTACAACAAACAGACATCTGGTGATTTTGTCCATGATGTTGCTGTTAAGAGCCATCGAGTTGGTTCGGACTCATAGGGTTTATGTATAGGGTTTATGAAGAGTTTGAACCGCCAACCTTGCAGTTGAAACCTACCTTATGGTTGAGTGCTTATCCTACAGCACCACACCTAGGACTCCATTTTGTCCATTATTATTGTTATTGTTGAGTGCCTTCAAGACAGTGGCAACCCATAGCAACCCTCTATAGGGTTTCCAAGGAGTGGCCGGTGATCTTGAGCCGCTGACCTTGCAGTCCAGCGCATTAACCCACAGTGCCACACCAGACATAGAATCCTTCAGTATTCAGCTCGAGACTTGATTTTTTTCTTCAGCACTTTCAGCTCCAGAAATGCTGAACATGTCCTTCCCTTTTTACTTTCCTAACTCCAGGTCTTTGTACATGTCATTATAGTACTTTGTCTTCTCAAGGTGCCCTTTAAAATTTGCTGATGATCATTTATTTCACTTGCTTCAGCTACTGTACATTCAAGAGCAAATTTCAGAGACTATTGAAAAGACTATGATGAGTGGAATTAGTCACAAAAGGACAAATAGGATTCCGCCCAACATGAAGTGTCTGGAATATGCAAGTTACACAGCGACCAAATCTTATTAGTAGTTAATGAGGTGAAAGGCGGGAAGGAGAAAGGAGGAATATTTTGCTTAGGGGAACTGAGTTAATGGTGATGGAATAATTTGGAAATGAGTAGTGTAATGGTTACTCAACATAATGAACGTATCTAATGTGACTAAATTGCAAATGTAAAAAACGTTGACTGGGCAAATTTCTGTGCTTTAAGTATGCATATTTTGCATACATACACTCATTTAATTTAACTTAATTAGAAATTTTGTTTTACTGTGAGACAATAATGCAAAGATTTACGTAAAATACAAATAAAATTGTATTGAAAAATCACAAATGAATGATTGTTGTTGTTAAGTACTGTGGAGTCGATTCCGACTCATAGCGACCCTGTACAGGGTTTCCGAGACTGCAAATCTTTACTGGAGCAGAAAGCCTCATCTTTCTCCCGCAGAACAGCTGGTAGTTTCAAACTGCCGACCTTGAGGTTAGCAGCCCAATTCGTAACCAGTACACTACTTTGTTGTTGTTGTTAAGTGCCGTCGAGTCGGATCCGACCCAAGCGACCCTGTACAGGGGTTCCGAGGACTAGAGCTCCTTAAATAAATGATAGAAACTTAAAAACAGAATTCAATGATACTGAGATGACCAAGATAACTCATTAAGAATACTTTCCAAGATGCAGTTATTTGCAGAATTGATTATTTGATCATCATATTTTCAGCATTTAAATTTCTTTTTTTCTTTCTTTTTTTTATTCAAACCTCAGACAACAAACTAACCAACTCATTTTCAAAGAACACCTTTATCACAGGCAAATTGTTGTTTTTCAGTCAACTGCCAGCTGCTTCTCTTGGCTTGACTGAGTAAAGGAAGCAGATGGGGAGGGTGGAGATAAAGCTGGCAGTTAGGGACGCTCCCCAGGACATGATGATGGAGCTTTGCTTTCCAGACCTGATGCTTCTGATGAGCTGAAGGGCAGCAGGTCCTGTCTGGCAGCAGAGCGAGCACTCAGCCCTAGGCTGTGGGGGTTCTTGAGGCGGGCAGGGCATCTTCCAGAATCCATTTCTTCTGCTATCCCAGAGCTTTTGACGCTTTTACAAGGCTGGCAGGCACTTGCTGCAGAGTCAGGGGGGCTCCTCAGAATTTCATTTTAAAGAGACAGTATGCAAGGTAATAATTGGAATTCTTCCAAAATAATGCATATATCATTTAAACATTTCAGTTAAGTTGACCATGTTATATGGCATTATAATATATATATATATGAATTGGAAAAATACCAAAAAGTATCTGTGGTACAGTTTTTAAATAAATGCTTTCACATGTAGCTGCTGACAAACCATTATGAAAGATGCTGGAAATATTACTGCCTACCAGGAGGATGGGGGAACTTTGGTGCTGCATCAGAAGAAGAACTTCATTTATCAAGAAAATTGTTCTGGGGCATTTTTGATGCCCTGTCTCAAAAGGTAAATTAATGTTTTATGGATTTATTTATATTAATAAAAAAAAACAAAACTAGAGTTCTTTACAAGATAGTTACCCTAGAAGAATAGTACCTTTATGAATAAAAACATATATAGCTTTATTATTTATGTTTTACCAACCAAGTAACAGATGTGAGAATGCAGTTTAAATTGGCCTTATCATAATCACAATGGCAGCATATTCCTGGTAATCATTAGACTTTTTCTGAATTTTAAATGCTACATTTTTTTTTTTCAGGAAATCAAGCACATGGCTTAGTAAGATTTTGTGCATTTTGACTTATTTGAACTTAACCCTAGTCAATACCTTATGCTTATTATAAAGTGTGAAAATTTAAAACTGTAAAATCTTTTGAAATTGAAAATTCCAGTGGCCGTACTAATTTCTTCCGCTTGGCTGCTATGGGGACTTCTGCTAAACGACCTCTGTCAGTGTCGTTTCCTATGTGTGCTGTCCCCTGGTAAATGTTTACGTAGAGTGAATGTTTTCTGTACTTTCAGGTTGACTGGAGGAAAGTTTTAAAGTCTGAGGAAATCAGAACATATGTTGCATGCTCATGCTTAAATGATCAGTTTGAACCAGCAGATAGTCATTATTAGATGACATGACTAGCGTAACCAGAAGTGTTGCATGGCAGCGGTGGTGGTAGTGTGCCTTCAAGTTGATTCCAACTCATAGCAACCCTGCATAGGGCTTCTGAGGCTATAAACCTTTACAGGAACTGAAAACCTCATGTTTCTTCCATGGGGTGGCTGGTAGGATCGAACTGCTGACCTTTCTGTTAGCAGGCTAATGTGTAACCACTGTGCTTACCAGGGCTCCTTGTTGTGAAGTTCCATCGAGTCAATCCCAGCCCTTAGCAACCTTGTATAGAGTTTCTGAGGAGCAGCTGGTGAGCTTGAACTGCCAACCTTGCAGTTCTAACGGCTTTGCAGTCTGGTGCATTAATCCACAGTGCCACACCAGGGCTCCTAGCAGGGGAAAATTCATCTGGGATTAAATTTGGTACTTAGATCTTTCTGCTCTAATCTTATTGAATTTCCTTTGTTAATCTTGGAGTTTTCTTGAAATAACATAGAGAGGTTATTTTTAAAAGCATTTACAAGATTCAGGTAGGCATGATGTTAAAGCAACAGTGTTTGGATTTTTTTTTTTTAATCCATAAATTACATATTTAACTAATTATGTGATTAATGTATAAATACCTTTTCCCAGAAATTTTTATTGCATGTATTCCCTATGGAATATCTTTCTCCATAGTGCATTGCAGATCAGTTAAAATTTCTTATTCTTTGGAATGTCTTTCTGTATACATTTTGTATGCATTTTGTACGTATAGTCATTTAAATGTAGTGCTGCAGTGATTTATAGCTAAATGCAAGAAATATAATCCTTATTACCTAAAAGTATATTACTATTAAGACATGTTTCAAATTTAGAGTATTAAAGTTCATTTGAAATATTGAAGGATGAACTCTTGAAAACATGCATGTAATTTCTTCTTCTTAGGGTGCATTACTATAGCTAGCATCTCTTGTGCATGATGAAATTTCAAGCTTTATGTTTCATTTGCTAGAAAAAGCATCTGCCAATCAGTTAAATTAGGCTGGCTAATCCAGATTACCTCAGCAACCCTGAACTGCCACAGCACTCGTGTTGTCTTTGCAACTCTTGCTAAGTAGGTTTTCTTTTTCTCTCTCTGTTTCTACCAGAAATATGAGCAAGAACTTTTCAAACTGGCTCTGCCTTGCCTGAGTTCAGTTGCGGGAGCTTTGCCTCCAGACTACATGGAGTCAAATTATGTCAGTATGATGGAAAAACAGTCATCAATGGATTCTGAAGGGAACTTTAACCCACAACCTGTTGATACCTCAAAGTATGGACTCTTTCTATTGCAGCAGATTTTTATTGTAAATGATGTGTGAAGTCTGAAATTGAATAAGGTACTAAAGTGAACTTTCTCTAATCCATGCCCCCTTTGAATTGGTATCCTTTTAATAAGAGTCCTTTTAAGTATAAAATTATAGTAGTAATAATAATGATTATGCTAAAATCAGAAACAGATACCTTCTAGGATACAATCAACCTAATCAGTATTCTTGGCATGTAACAGCAACAATATACATCTATAGTCATGAGAATCCAAAAATGATCCTTTTTTTAAGTTGAAATTTTACCCTCAAGATTTATTAATAGTTACAACTAACCTCTGTGTAACATTTCTTATCCAGGATGATCCCAGTATGCACTGGAGAGCGATTTATTTATATAAACTCATCACTACATCCCAGCAAAAGGAGCTCTGGTAGCATAGTGGTTACAAATCGGGCTGCTAACCTCACGGTCAGCGGTTTGAAACTACCAGCTGTTGCACGGGAGAAAGATGAGGCTTTCTGCTCCCGTAAAGATTTATAGCCTTGGAAACCCTGTGCAGGGTTGCTATGAGTCGGAACCGACTCCACGGCACATAAGAACAACCACATCCCAGCAAACCCTAGAATTTAGCAGCAGAGGTTCAGCATGATAAAGCTCAGCATGGATGGGATTGAAGGAAGTATCCAATAAAAACAGTAGTGGGAAATTTAACATGCAGCTAGAATGCAGTTCGACAAGCTAAACCAAAGATAAAACATTATTGAACATTAGGAAACTTCACGTGTGTATTTAGTTGTATACATTGCTCTACCAATAGGATGCATGGGTACTTCAGGTATTTGAACTGTGTTATTTTTTAAATAATTGTCTTTAACTAGGACCCTGACTTCCCATGTGTACGCGAAGCTGCTACTTGGTGCCGCATTAATTCCCTTACTGGTGTAGTGGTGATGGAGCAGGATCAGTGATAATAGCAAGGCAGTTCTGTGACAGTTACCATGCTCAGCATCTGAAAGTGCTTGGGAGTCCCACTCTGAGGCTTCTGGGAAGCCCCCAGCTGGTTTAGCTTCCATAACCTGATCCAAATTTCAACCTCAGTGGTATGCCCTTACTTTAATAATGCTTTCAGTGTGCATGTTTGGGATTTGATGACAGTTCTGTGAGAAAGACTACCCCCGCGTTTGGTTTCTGTGATCCTTTCGATCTCTTCCAAAGTAAGTAAACCAGAATATCACATGTTCACATTTATACTTGGGTAAGTTTGTGGTTTGCTGATAAGTAACGTGACCCAGAATTATGAAATAAAATAAAGACGATGTCATGGATGAAGTGTTGATGGATTAAGGCCAGCAAACATGTATTGGGATGTGTATTCATTTACCTAGATTTGCTACTTGGAGGACTTCTCAAAAAGCTTAACAATAATAGGCAACAATTTCTGCATCTTTGTGTTTTTAGATATTTGTTTCATAAGCAAATATAATATGAGTTCAATTACTGATTGCTATCTTTGCTGGGTAAAGGAGGATAACCACAACCAGTAAATCATCTCTTTATATTAGGTTTGATTTAGAAGCCTACGCTCAAGGTTTATAGCTTTAATAAGTTGGATTCTTTAATGAGTGGAATTGTATATGCATGCAATGGAATAGTAAATATATATGACTAGAAAAAAAAATATATATGTATATTTGTGTTTTCCATTTATAGAATATATATATATTTGTGTTTTCCATTTATAGGTATCTTTAATATTCACAAGTCTTAAATTTACCATCTGCCCTGGTCATTGTTTGAAGGCATTCAACATCTGTTCAAGGCATTAAATATTTAAACATGAAAGATGTTGAGAATAAATGTTCTCAAAATCATAAAGGATAAGTTGGTTTAGATACCTTTCCTTGAACCAATAGTAGATATTGGTAATATTTAGAATGTTATATATACCATTGATGGAATCCTAGTGTGGTGCTGTGGGTTAATGCACTGGACTGCAAAGTCTATTTGAACTTCAAGGTCGGCAGTTCAAGCTCACCAGCTGCTCCTCAGAAACCCTATAGAGGGTTGCTATGGCTTGGAACCAACTCAATGGCACTTAACAACAATAACATACAACATTGATATTTAGAATCATTAGCATATTATTGTTGTTAAGTGCCTTCGTGTCAGATCCGACTCATTACTACCCAAGGAGGGTTCTGAGGCTGGAAGTCTTTGTAGGAGTAGAAAGCCTAATCTATCTTTGGTGGAGCCGTTGGGCTTGAACTGATGACCTTGTGGTTAGCAGGCCAGTATTTATCATACAGACTCACAGGGCTCATAGGTTATATGAAATTTAAATTTCCGTAAAGAAATTTTTCAAAAGATTGGATTTCAGCAGATTTCCTAATTTTTGTTGCAGAGGAGACAAAAAATGTAAAATAGCTTCAGTGAAAGAACATGGGAGATAACGTATCTCTAAGCTTGTTGAATCTAATCTTGTCTTGATGTAATTTTTTTTGTGTGTAATTTGTTGCATTCAGCTTGGAATATAATTTATTAGTTTATTGTGGTGTGTCATTATAGGATAAGTACTAGACTGCTAACCACAAGGTCGGTGGTTCAAACCCACCAGCTACTCCTTGAAACCCTATAGAGGGTCACTATGAGTAGGAACTAACACACCAGCACCCAACAACAACACTGCCCTCTGTAGAACTTTGGAATATGGTGGCTCTGTAAGATAAGCACTAGACTGCTAATCACAAGGTTGGCGGTCTGATTTCACCAGCCACTCTGTGGGAGAAACATGAGGCTTTGTGCTCCTGCAAAGGGTGTCTATGAGTCAGAACTGACTCTACAACACTTAACAACCACAAAAAAAAATCTAAGTTAGTTATATATCATTTATTGTATATTAACATACAGGAAAGTAAAAAGCAATCTAAAGTGAACAGACCCAACAATAGCTGGTTGGCTCTTTTATATTGTTCCTAAAATGAGAATTATGAAATCTTGTGAAAAAGTAGTATTTTATTAACATCATTTATTTTAACAGTCATACATTAAATATAATCTAAACATTCATATACTCTGAGTAAATTCCTGTTAGTATGCTTTTCTATAAGTTATGTGAAAATCACACTTTTTTCCTTTATTTTTCCTGTAGTATTACAATTCCTGAAAAGTTGGAATACTTCATTAATAAATATGCAGAACATTCCCATGACAAATGGTCAATGGACAAGGTAAAAGTCAGAGTCTTATTTGTAACTCAGTACTAGGATGGTTACTAATGGGTCACTGAGCAAATACATCTAACCATGTTCTATGTTAGAGTGAGAACAGGATCAAGACAAAAAAGAACACTTTATTACAGCTTGTTAATAAACTATTAAAGGAGCTCTGGTAGCGTAGTGGTTACGAATCGGGCTGCGAACCTTAAGGTCAGCGGTTCGAAACTGCCAGCCAGTCCGCGGGAGAAAGATGAGGCTTTCTACTCCCGTAAGGATTTATACCCTCGGAAACCCTGTACAGGGTTGCTATGGGTCGGAACCGACTCGAAGGCACTTAACAACAACAACAACAACAATAAAATATTAAGCAAATTCTGCCATCAACACAACATATGATACACATATGAATAGGATATTTGTGTCATGGAAAGGATAAATTTAATATTTTTAAGTATGTACGAATTGTAAGTTTACTTTCTAAGCACATGCAGTTTGTGGTAGCAAAGGTTAACTGTCACTGGGAGCTTTAGGAGGTAACAAAGGACCATTTAGGGAACCCTTGACTTGATGGGTAATTTTAGGTCAGATAAAATCTTTTTAAAAATCTTAATCTGGGTTCTACTCTTCTATTGCATTTTTGAGTACCAAGTAATCAAGTAGATGTATAATTCACTAAAAATTGGTCCTGTTGCCAATTTTGTTTTGTTTTGTTTTTAAGAAAACCAACCCAAATGAGGTAACTAAAGCTATAGCAATACCTTACATAGTTTCTAGAAATGATGGGGTTTTCTAAAGAAAACCTCATGATTAAGGAGTCACATATAAAAATGAAGCCTAGCTTAAGTGTAAGACAGGATGAGTTGAGACCATGCAAGAATCTAAAATAAGTATGGTTAAGAGAAAATAAAAAAATTAAAATTCTAAAACATACTTACGTAGCAATGAAAATACGCTAGTATTCATGTTTATAGTCCTGGTATGGTGCTATAGGATCAGCACTGGCCTTTGAACCCCAAGGTTGGCAGTTCAGACTCACCAACTGCTACTCAGAAACTCTATACATGGCTGCTATAAGTCGGAACCGACTCAATGACACAACAACAAGTGTTCATATTCAGTCTCAGCCCTTTTCGTTTTAATAAACATGGCTTTTTCCAGTAATTGATGTTGTCCTGAGCTGGTAAGGGTAGTGATGGAAGAGAATTTACTCGAGTGTAGTTCCTCAGCTATTTCCACCCACTTGACTCTTAGATTCCATAGGCAAACAGTAATATATACGGACAGGCAAGTATATGTAACAAACAATCCACAAATTGGGGCAACCCCATGCACAATGGAACCAAACACTGCCTACTCCTGTACTGTCCTCCTGATTGGTTAATATTGATCCTTGTGATCCGTAAGTTTCTCACTGGCTAAGTTTTGGAACTAGAACTTTAGGACTTTCTTCCTAGTCTGTCACTGAAACCTGGTCAGTATTATCACCTCTCTCAAGCCTCCAGTAGCAGATGGTAGCATTGTATGAGTTACATTGGCCTCCCTGTATTCTGTCTCTTAAACAACTAGAGCAATGCCCCTAGAACCAACATGCAATAGTATAATGGGATCTAGGAATGAGCAAAACAAGTAGTATTATTAGGGATGCTTCTAAGACACAGACTCCAGATTTCCTGTTTACAATGATCATTTTACACGTAACTGCCGCAAGTGGGGTCCCAAGATGTGGCAGACCAAATACAGACCTCTTATGGGTATGCTTACTAACACTGTCATGGAGTTGGGCTTGTTTAAATTTGGGATTAATAGATTAGATTCAAATGATGACACAAAATAACATTGATTGGAATGAAAGTTTTTATATTGAGTTGTGCTAGATACAGTTCAAACTTTAATTCCTGCTTGGGTTCATTTTGTGTTTATCAAATATAATTAAGCATATGCATTCTTTCACATTTAAATTAACACATAACATGTAATTTTTATTTGTTTTAGTTGGCAAATGGATGGATTTATGGAGAAGTATATTCAGATTCTTCTAAGGTTCAGCCACTAATGAAACCTTATAAACTATTATCTGAAAAGGTGAGGGTTTTGTTTTTGTTGAGTTTATATAGTTTATTTTTTAAGGTTTTTCGTTTTGAAAAACATTTTCTTATTAAAATGTCTGCTTTATTTTACATTTACTATTTTTGCTTCTATTTTTTCTTTTGTTTTGTGTTTTTCTCTCCATTTCCATTTTTCATCATATTTTATTGGTATTCTCTTCTCTACTTACTATTTTTTTTTTTTTTTTTTTTCTTTTGAGGGTGCTTTTCAATGGGCATTTCTTTCACATATATTTAAGAACTTTAGAAATAGTCTTACCATGCTAAAGAGTTTCCTGATGAGGGATAATGAAGTAATATCTTAATATGCGAGTTCAGAAACTCATTTTCATCAGTCTCACTTCTGTGGGAGAAAACGAGTCTCTCGGCAAATAAGGCTCAGGAGAAAGTCTTCGATGATACAAAAGTCTTCACACACTCATCACATAGTCTGTCATGTTTTTTTTGTTTGCTTGTTTGTTTTTTGCTGTGTTTCTCCGTTCATTTTCTATGTAATATATCAGAATTGGGAAACTAAAGGAATTTATCCTCCATTCCATGCTATTGCAGACTCCTTCTTAGAACTATGAGTGGAAGTAGACCTCACCTCACACTCTACTTTTCCCAGTTCTTAGCCTCCTTTTTTTTCCTTCTTGTAAATAAACAATGCTGACTGTATTTTTTTTTAAAGTGAAAGCAGCCTGTTTCAGAACAAATAATTAAACATTCAAAACAGTTTCATTTACAATCATAATATTTTACTGGGATGGTTTTTTGTTTTTTTTTCCCCTAGGAAAAGGAAATTTATCGCTGGCCAATCAAAGAATCTTTAAAAACGATGCTGGCTTGGAGCTGGAGAATTGAAAGAACCCGGGAAGGAGACAGTATGGCTCTTTATAATCGGACTCGACGTATTTCTCAGACAAGCCAGGTAAGAATTAAAGGGACCAATTCACTATTTATGGTATTTTTAAAGTAATTTTAATCTTTCAGTTAATTCGTGTGTTCTTCAAAACCAGTAAATTGGAAATTCTGAAGACTATCACAAGAGGCAGCAGTGAAAAAGTCGATGTTTTTTCTTTCATTCTGAGTGAGGTTAAATCTTGGTGGCTTAAGGAGCTGAGGTTACAGATCTGGTCTCGCTTTTCCTGCCCAGCAGGGAATTTTAGGATATGATTGTTGATAAGTGCTGTCAGGTAGGTCTATTCATAACGACCCTGTGTAGGGTTTCTGAGGAGCAGCGAGTGGGTTTGAACTTGTGGTTAGCCGTCCAGAGCTTATTTTACTTTAAATAAGCTTATTTTATTTTAAATAAGTGCCATCAAATTGGTTCTGACTCATAGTGACCTTGTGTAGGGTTTCCAAGAGACAGCTGGTGGGTTTGAACCGCCAACATTGTTGTTTGCCGTCCAGAGCTAATCCTACAGCAGAACAGCAGGAGTCCTGTTGTCTATTTAGTCACCTGCACACTAAGAAGAAGGGCTCTGGACTTAGTTGTAATCAGTTGTTGTCAAGCTGATTTGAACGCATGGAGACCTCATGTGTGCCAAAGTAGATCTGTGCTCACTCAGATAGCCATAGCTGACATTTGGAGGTGGATTTCGGTGCCTTTCTTCTGAGACACCGCTCATTGATCCCAAACCTCCAACTGTCCCATTATTACCCATTTGCACTACCCAGCGTCTCCCGGAGTTTAAACCCTAGAGCACCACTTTCTAGAAAGGTAACTTTGTGTATGTTATTTGAACTCAGTAAATGTTAGCTCTGGTTATTCTGTTAGTATTCAAACATTTTTAAATACTGGTCAGCATTTCATTAATTGTAAATAAAAGGATGCATTTGTGTCTGTAGTACTTTGACCTGTAAGCAGTAATTTATTAAAGAATATTTCCTCTCAGCATTAGAAAGGAGAGGCAAAATCCAACAAATGTTACAAGAGGATAGAAAAAATGGGGGTGGGGGTGGTTGTGTGCCTTGGAGTTGGTTCTGCCTAGGGTTTCCAAGGCTGTGAATCTTTACAGGAGCCGAAAACCTCATCTTTCTTCTGCAAAGCAACTGGTAGATTCAAACTATTGACCTTGTTAGCAGCCCAGCTCGTAATCCACTATGCTACCAGGCCTCCTATAAATAAATTCAGGTCATAAATTTAAAAGGATCTGTGTAAAAGGTAATACAAATAGTAATAAAGGATATTATTTTCACTTATGCTAACTTCAAGGTCAGTGTTTCAAGACTACCAGCAGGTCCTTCAGGAGAAAGATAAGGCTTTCTGCTACCATAAAGATTTACAGCCTCGGAAATCCTATGCAGGGTCACTATCAGACAGAAGCTGACTCCACAGCACTTTACCACCACCACCACTATATTAAGCACATGGTCTTTAAGAATTTTGAGACTGGAAATTTTACTTTAGAAACAGAGCTATTGGTGCTTTCTCTATTTTATTCACCTATTCAACAAAATTCACAGAGATTCTAATACTGGTTTTCATCAGGGTTAAGATAAAATTGGCCATATTTATTATCATCTCTGATACAGAATCATCCTGCAATCCTAAAGTTGATGAACTATGCCAAGAGCTAGGCTCTTAGAGTACTAAAATGAATGCGTCTCAGTCTGTGCTCATAGACATTCACTGTACAGTGGAGACACTTATGGCTCAGAGACATGCAAAATAAGATCTGTTTTTAGGAATATAATTCTCACAAGAGTGGAAGATGAACCAGAAGGATGAGAAAAGAACACAAAACCTCCTTAAGAGGACATTACCAACATCCCAGAAAAAAGGAAGAAAGAAAGAAAAAAAGTTAAATGCTTGAATCAGAACAAAGATTGGCGGGAAGTGGAGACATCTCAAAGATATTTTGGAACACACAGGCTTTTGTGATCACTGATCTGTGCCAGTGAATATCAAGGATGGATCAGAGATGCTGCTATGGATTTGTCCACAGAGTAGGTGGTTACGTTAGCTGATGCTTAGGATATGGATCCTTGTTGCCAGCGTAGTAATCCCATCACATGTAGGAGAGTAACCCACTCCATATTTTTTTACGTGTGGGGGTTTGCCAAGGAATACACTGGGAATAGCAAGGTCAGCTTCCATCGTGGGTGTCAGCCCCCCCATGGTCAGCAGCTCTCTTTATATCTGGCAGTGGGATTTGGATCTGTGTGTGGCCCTCTTCAGCTCCACATGACCCTTTCCTCACTAGCAGGAACAGATCTAACTGTGGTAGGGTTGACCAGGTGCCATGCAGTGCACATGTTGAGTTAAGTAGTTTCTGGAAATACTGAAACAGGATGTGTTTTAGGTCAAGATACCCCAGGAAAGGAATTAGGCAGGCTTGCATATCTGATCCTAAGCACAAGATTCTCTTGTATGACTGCTGTCTTCCACATGGTGGATGGCAAGGAGAAAATAAGAGTTTGATTTTAGATGCTGTAATCGATAAATGTGCATGTTCTAATCCCATGTTATTTTACACAGTTAAAAGGACTTTGTTCATGAAAAGACATGGGGAGATTGTCCTGGGTAATCAATCCAGATAGGCCCTATGTAATCACATGGGTTCTTAATAGCACATCATCTTTTCAGGCTTTGGTCAAAGAGAAATAGGACTAGAGAGGAATGCTCAGAGAGCTGTGATGCTTTCAGCTTTGAAGATGGTAGAAGAAGCTGTGAGTCAAGGCACGTGGGCACCACTAGAAGCCGGAAAAGACAAGGAAAGGGTTTCTACCTTCGAGCCTGCAGAAAGGAATATAGCCCTGTCTACGCTTTGATTTCAGCCCACTGAGACCTGTATTGGACTTCTAACAACTTTGTGTTGTTTGATGCCACTAAATGTATGGAAATTTGTTATAACAGCAATAGAACATGAATACCAATCTAGAATTCCTTTACTGTTGCTGTTAAGTGCTGTTAAGTCAGTTCTGACTCATAGCGACCCTGTATAGGGTTTCTGAGGAGCGGCTCTTGAGTAGGAACCACCAACCTTATAGTTCAAACTGAACTTCAGGTGGAGGGCCATACCTACGGCACCACACCGGGACTCTACAGAATCCAATATAAAGATGGTAATGAAAAGTGTAAACATTAACTCTAGACTGTAGGACGCCTGGTGTGACGCTGTAGGATCAGCACTGGACTTTGAACCACAAGGTCAGCAGTTCAAACCCACCAGCTGCTCCTCGGAAATCCTACGCAGGATTGCTGAGTTGGAACTGACTCAGCAACACTTAACAGCAACAACAGATCAACAATGTTGATGCTAGATCCAGTGACTATTTGTATATTATAGCAAATTGTTGGGGTCCTGGTGTGGCGCTGTGGGTTAATGCGCTGAACTGCAAAGTCGTTTGAATCACAAAATCATTGGTTCAAGCTCACCAGTTGCTCCTAGGAAACCTCCTACAGGGTCGCTATGGATCAGAACCAACTCTTTGACACTTAACAATATAGCAAATTGGTAAGTTAAATATTTAAGGAGACATGGACACTTAGGAGAAACATTTAGAATTTCAAAGAATATTGGGGATACAACTGAAGAGTGAACCCTGAAAACTGCATACATATTTAAAGGTGCCAGAGAAGAAAACAGGAAAAACTAAGCAGAGAGCTAGGAGGTGGTTCCAGGGTATTCTCTGAGCGAGGTAGTAAGGCAGTAAGGCAGTAGTGGATGAATATGTCGTTTCTAGAAGGTCTGGTTTGGTGGTCGGTAGAGTATGACCTTTATATTGGCAACATGGAATGGGATAATATTTGAGAGGGCATTGATGGTAGACTGTTGGGGAAAGAAACGTTCTTTTATTACCTAGAAGGGACAGTGAGAAAGACAGCTAGCTCTGTAGTCCAACACCTGCCAACACAGTTTGTTTTAGGTCTGTAAGCCTGAGTAATTCATTTAAGGTAAGCTTCAAAGTCTCCATTTCCCCTCAGGAGTGCTAAATGAGAAGGACACATGTAAAGTATTAACTTTCCCATCAATGATTACAGCAGCTTTAGCAGCACAGTTACCATCATGGGCCCACACATACATGATAACATCACGGTGCTCTTAGTTGCCATCAAGTGGCACCAATTCATGACGATCGTTCATACAGCATAATGATGTGCCCATTGTTTCTAGGACATTAAAAGTACATTTGAGTAATAAGCAAAAGGAAAATGATTATAGGTGATCTAAAAGATAGCTAATTGGCTATGGTCCTGGAATAAGTAGGAAGTATTAGAGACCTGCCTTCTCCTTGTCAGGAGAAAAATGTTAGCATTGGCTCTCTGGAGGAGGTCAGGATGCCTTTATTTATTTGCTTATTTTTGGAAGGATTAGGAAGTTCCAATTGGAATAAAATAGTGAATGGGAATACACATCATGGTCTATGAAGGGACCAGTGGTCAGAGACCTGCCCTATACCAGACCCAAGTCCAAATAAGAGCTCAGATCATAAGGAATTTCAATGTGGGACTTGGGGAAAGGTGAAGGGAATTTCACTGCTAGACTTTGTACAGTGATCAGCCTATCAGTTGCAGACCAAAACAGATGGGGAATGGAGGGCTGACAGGAGTGGTGGTGATGGTAGTTGTAGGGTGCAGAGATATAGTTGTTGTGGTGGCAAGGTGTCATCAAATCGGTTCTGACTCCTACCAGTCCTGTATAGGCTTTCCAAGGAGCAGCTGGTGGGTTTGAACTGCCAACCCTGTGGTTTGTAGTCCAATGCTGATCTTACAGCGCCCCACTGGGACTAGTTTCGGTATGTCGAGTGCTGTATTTCACACACTGTGTCATTTCACTCTGGTCTTTAAGGTAGATGGTGTCATTAGACTAAGCCCCATTTAACAGCTGGCCACACTGGGGGTGCATAGCAGAGCTCAGCTGCCACCCCACCCATGGCTGGCATGTCGATTCCGATGGGACAGAGTAGAACTGCTCATATGGTTTCCACAACTGTAGCCTCATCTTATTCTCACAGAGCAGTTGGTAGATTTGAACACTAACCTTTTGCCTAATAGCCCGTTGCTTAACCCACTGCACCACAAGGGTTTCTAAGTAGAACACAAGCAGTCACTAACTATGTCACAGAATTTAACAGTTCAGCATATTAGAGTCCTAGTGTGACTTTGCAGGATAAAGCTCAACAGTTTAAACCCACCAATCACTCCTTGGAAACCCTATGCAAGGTGTCATTGAATGAGAGCCAACTTGACAGCACTTAACACCACCCAAGATTGGGATTAGACAGGAGTGGTGATTGACAGGTAGGAATCACTTCTTAACACCACCCAAGATTGGGATTAGACAGGAGCGGTGATTGACAG